ACAGAGACTCGTCCATGAAAGCTACACACAGATCGTACAATCCATCTAGAGAATATTTCCTGGATGTGTACATGAGTCCTGTGACAGTTTCTGCGTTAATAGTAGCCTCGTCTGTGTACACATACCTGTATAATATGTCAGAAAAAAGGGTTTCAGATTAAAAAAAATGTTCTTAATGTCTTTTCAATCTTTAGCTTAATTCAAATTAAAGCAACATAATCCGGGTGCCTTTTCACTTTTATATGTTTACCAGTTCCGATTTTATGTTTGAAAATACATGTGGAGGTAAGTGTCGATTATTATCTTTTTTATCCCTTGCCTGGCAAGGTAAGCATATACAATATTATACTGACTTTTGCTATGCTGTGGTAAACACTTGGTGCCTCAAAAGTTAACTTTTGGTCTTCACAACATCTTTGAAACATTGATAAAGTTCAGAAAAATAAAGCTTGAGGAATTGTTTTCATTAATGTATTATTCAATATACAAAACTGCTAGATTAGGCTAACCTTAAGAATTCCTTGAAGATGTCTAGCTCAATGTCAGGAATGGTTATTTCCCCTTTCTCCGCCAGGGGGCCACACAACATGGCCTTGAATACACAGCTCCGACTGACAAGAACGTAACTGTGAGCTCGGACCACTTGTTTCTGTGGCCCCAACCGGAAGGTGGCGTCACTGCAGTCTTCAGTTTCGAGCATGCGCAGATTGCACTCTGTTACAGTCTTCCTAGCCTGCCAGTCGTCCACCAATCCAGATGTTGTTTTTTTTGTCCCGGACATCTTGTAGCTTGGAACACACAAGGCATGAGTATGTACAGCATGGGCGGATTTTAAAGGAGGAGGTTCAGGGGTTGGAACCCCATTTAGCCTCTCCGTCAACGCAAAAAATAATCTTCAATGTGATCTTAAGTCATTTTCAAAGGGGGTTCGAACCCCTGAAACAACAACAACACCCCACCCCACCCGGATCCGCCACTGATACATATCATGGGAACCGTGAAGATCCGGGCACAGGCACACTGTAGCAAATGGGGTTGCGCAACAAAGAGAACATGACCAGTCTTCCTATATTTAATATCAAAATGAAATATCGCTTGATTGGTTACCATCAAAGGTAGACACCCATTTGTGCTCTCAGATTTCCAACCTCATATTTTTAAAAATCAATTTGTATTTACACACGTAAAATATACGCAATTCAACATTTTAAGCGCCATTCGTGGCACATCAATCGTTCTTCGCCTCTATTACCCATGCCGGCTTCCGGAGTAGATCGATGTTCATGCTGTTGATCACTGGATTGTCTGGTCCAGATTCGATTATTTACAGACCGCCGCCATGTAGCTGGAATATTGCTGAGTGCGGCGTAAAACTAAACTCACTCATATCATAGAATATATAGATCATATGGAATATATAGGTCATGTAGGATATATATATGTCTCAATTCGTGTAAAACGGTTACATGACCGGACTGTCGAAGGGACTAAACTCTGTAATTACTAATACAGGCTGTGTATTCTGCTGTCTAGTAAACTACGGGTCGTTATTTAAGTGATTATCAATATCGCTTCCGTCAGAAATAGTGACAGTTATCAAGACAGCCGACAGATGTGTTACGTATGACGGGATATGTTCGTAAATCTGAAAAGCCGCCTGTTGTGTCGGTAATTGTAAATACCACAGGGGCAGACTCAGTAACTCCCGATATACACCTCTCAAACAGACACCACCACAAACTACGGGTGGGTCATCATTCACTACAGATGTGTGGGTCGTGTCAACTTTACCTGGAACTGGCACAGAACTTTAAACTCGCGAGATCGAGAGAGACGTCTTCACCTGCTTGACACCAGTAAACTTCACTTCTTTGACACTTCACTTCCTTGTAATCCTAGTTTCGTTTTGATCGTAGGCGATGTGTATATTTTATGCACAGGGGTTCGAATCACTGTTTGGACAATAATTTTTAAAATATAAAATCTATATTTTTGCCACCGTATATTGTTTTTATATGTTATGAGTAACTTAGGTTTCAAATTTGAACGAAATAGGTGAAGAAATGGATTTTTTAGAAAATTCTCCCGCTATACTCATTACATAAAATACACAAGCCTGATCGAAAACCGGACAGCCCGACTATTTTAACGTGCGTTCAATCAAACCGCACGTTTTTCACAAAACAATGTGTTGAGCTAGTAGATTATTCTTTTGGCCTTCTGCTCATCGTATTCAGTTTGTCTAACTACATTTCATATTTTACCACTGACCCTCGCATTAGCACTACCCTCCGTTTTGAACAAACGTCTGGCCGCCCTTCGGTAAACATCGACCCTGTCCGAAAATCTCGGAATGACTCGGAACACAAAACGGCTCTCATTGGTCGATTTCAACGTGTATTGGGAAAACAACAAACAAACATGGCAGACATGGCAGTGAGCGGGGCCATCGATGGCCATAATCTGTCGATTTGGGACCAAGCGGGCACAGGCAAGACCACCATACTGCACCAGATCAGGACAGGAATTATCGAGGAAAGGGAAAGGAGTGAGGATTACGGCGACAACTGGGCTGGCAGCCGCTAATATCGATGGGGTTACGCTCCATCGTTTCACATGTGTATTTCTCTGTTTTGTTAAATTATTATCAAGCTTCTTTCCTCCATAAAATTAGTGTGCGTTATATAGACATGTATACATTTGTGCCTTCAGTGAGTTATGGCAAGTTTATATCTTTCGCTTAAAATGTCAGTCAATACGGAAAATGTACTGTCAGATGGACAAGGCTACGCACGTGTTTTTTATTCTTACATAGCATATACTCATTTTGGAACATGAATGTTTTCATAATATATAGTACCAAAACATCCTAAAGTCAGAATTGGGGGTACGAAGTATGAATGTATAATATTTACAGTGTATAAAATTTAACAATGACCTAATTGGTATTGCATAAGGATTTCATAACAAACATCAGCCACACAATGACAGAGGGAACCCAAATATGTGTAGATTGAAAATATTTGTTATTGTAAACACAAAACTTTCATATAAAAAAGACATCAATGTTCTGAGGTTACTCCAACAAATTGATTTTGTATATGAATTAACTGTAAACTACATCTGATTGTGATTGGTTTTAATATAAATATAGTGTAATTTTATGTTTGTGAAAGTGTTCCAGAAATGTGGATAAATTTGTTTCACCGGAATTCATAATATTTCACAATTGTTTGCAATCACCAATGCAATTTTTGTGTGGATACTAGTAAACTCTACTCTTTTTCCAACATCATTTGTCATCTCATGTACAACAATACTAGCAATATTAAGAACTGTTGGAGTTATGAAATATTCATGACAAATTAAGAGTTTTAGAGAAATGGGAAATACTTATGTAAGTAAAGAGTCAGTTTTAATATGGTAATTGTGTAATCTATAGACAATGAAATGCATTGATAGATTACAAAAAATGTATTTGATTGTTTTATTAATTTTGAGACCATCCATATATAATTGGTCATGAAAACTATACATGAAAAGATATCTTGTTATCCACTATCATTCCTTGGTAAGGGGTTAGAAGGTTGGAGACCAGTAGTTTCTTATAGTAGTACCAACAAAAGTATTTTTAAGATTGGATAAAGCTCAGAATATTTTTTTGTTTCCAGATTCACCAACAGTCACATATGTGCACATGTCACTAATGGGATAAGGTAACACAGGAATGATTAAGAAGTTGAAATTTAATTCATATATGACCGACTCGCTAGATGATATTTAGAATTGATATTTAATGGTTTCATTGTTGATAATGCTTGAGGTCTTTGACTTAACTTGAGTCACAAGTATTTCTATAAGAGTTTGTACTATACAAGGGAAAATTTAAATAATCATACATTGCCGACTTGAAAGTGTCAGCATTTGATTATTCTTATGTCAATTTTCATAGGATATTATCTTTTTCAAGAGATTGTTAAGATGTGATTTAAAGTATGTGGTAGCATTAGGTAATTGTTTATTATCATCATATTTCAAAAGTTAATATACCTGGATGATTTTGAATTATCTGTTTTGGTGAAATGTATTATTGAATAAAAGTATCAACATTTGAACTGTTTTTTTCGTGTTGTATTATACTGTGGAAACTGTATGAAATATTGAATATTAAATCAACAATCACAATGAATTGATAATTAGAAGTCATTTGATATAACTGAAAATGTTGTTCAGCTAACATATGACATTTATAATAAAAAAACAATCCATGAATTTACAGAAGTTAAATATTTTCCGCTTTGCATGCTTGCTATTTCTATAAGGTTGTTAGATGTTCATGCTGTATGCACTATGTGCACTATTTTATTGCATTTAACGCCTAAAATAATTTTACTCACCATGAAAGAATTCCCAAAACCATGTTCGGGTTTTCCAAACATATCAACTGTCAAAACAATATTCTGCAATAATCGCACACGTGGAAATTGACCAATGAGAGTCGTTTTTGAGAGATTTTCGGACAGGGTCGATGTTTACCGAAGGGCGGCCAGACGTTTGTTCAAAACGGAGGGTAGTGCTAATGCGAGGGTCAGTGATCAAATATGAAATGTAGTTAGACAAACTGAATACGATGAGCAGAAGGCCAAAAGAATAATCTACTAGCTCAACACATTGTTTTGTGAAAAACGTACGGTTTGATTGAACGCGCGTTAAAATAGTCGGGCTGTCCGGTTTTCGATCAGGCTTTTAGCATCGCGAGTGTCACCCCTTGTGTATTTTATGTAATGAGTGTAGCGGGAGAATTTTCAAAAAATCCATTTCTTCACCGATTTCGTTCAAATTTGAAACCTAAGTTACTCATAACATATAAAAACAATATACGGTTGCAAAAATATAGATTTTATATTTTAAAATTATTGTCCAAACAGTGATTCGAACCCCTGTGCATATAATATACACATCGCCTACGATCAAAACGAAACTAGGATTACAAGGAAGTGAAGTGTCAAGGAAGTGAAGTTTACTGGTGTCAAGCAGGTGAAGACGTCTCTCTCGATCTCGCGAGTTTAAAGTTCTGTGCCAGTTCCAGGTATAGTTAAAATTGACACGACCCACACATCTGTAGTGAATGATGACCCACCCGTAGTTTGTGGTGGTGTCTGTTTGAGAGGTGTATATCGGGAGTTACTGAGTCTGCCCCTGTGGTATTTGCAATTACCGACACAACAGGCGGCTTTTCAGATTTACGAACATATCCCGTCATACGTAACACATCTGTCGGCTGTCTTGATAACTGTCACTATTTCTGACGGAAGCGATATTGATAATCACTTAAATAACGACCCGTAGTTTACTAGACAGCAAAATACACAGCCTGTATTAAATTAGTAATTACAGAGTTTTGTCCCTTCGACAGTGTAGTACAAGTCCGGTCATGTAACCGTTTTACACGAATTGAGACATATATATATCCTACATGACCTATATATTCCATATGATCTATATATTCTATGATATGAGTGAGTTTAGTTTTACGCCGCACTCAACAATATTCCAGCTTCATGGCGGCGGTCTGTAAATAATCGAATCTGGACCAGACAATCCAGTGATCAACAGCATGAACATCGATCTACTCCGGAAGACGGCATGGGTAATAGAGGCGAAGAACGATTGATGTGCCACGAATGGCGCTTAAAATGTTGAATTGCGTATATTTTACGTGTGTAAATACAAATTGATTTTTAAAAATATGAGGTTGGAAATCTGAGAGCACAATGGGTGTCTACCTTTGATGGTAACCAATCAAGCGATATTTCATTTTGATATTAAATATAGGAAGACTGGTCATTTTCTCATTGTTGCGCAACCCCATTTGCTACACAGTGTGCCTGTGCCTGGATCTTCACGGTTGTTCCTATGATATGTATCAGTGGCGGATCCGGGTGGGGGTGGGGTGGGGGTTGTTGTTGTTGTTTCAGGGGTTCGACCCCCCTTTGAAAATGACTTAAGATCACATTGAAGATTATTTTTTTGCGTTGACGGAGCCAATGGGGCTTCCAACCCCCTGAACCCCCTCCTTTTAAAATCCGCCCATGCTGTATATACTCTAGTCTGTCTCACAATCCCTGAACCACATTAATTTCCCTACTGCCAAGCCCTCTCTGCAGTGCTAAAGCCCTAAATAAAGCAAGTCCAGATTTCCTCAGGTTCAGGTTCTGAATCTCTGGTCACCCTAGGGCTCCTTTTCAATATAAATGGGCTTGTTTGTTACTATCAAAATTATATATATTCAGAGACTAAGCCTTAGTCTATATATACTCATGCCTTGTGTGTTCCAAGCTACAAGATGTCCGGGACAAAAAAAACAACATCTGGATTGGTGGACGACTGGCAGGCTAGGAAGACTGTAACAGAGTGCAATCTGCGCATGCTCGAAACTGAAGACTGCAGTGACGCCACCTTCCGGTTGGGGCCACAGAAACAAGTGGTCCGAGCTCACAGTTACGTTCTTGTCAGTCGGAGCTGTGTATTCAAGGCCATGTTGTGTGGCCCCCTGGCGGAGAAAGGGGAAATAACCATTCCTGACATTGAGCCAGACATCTTCAAGGAATTCTTAAGGTTAGCCTAATCTAGCAGTTTTGTATATTGAATAATACATTAATGAAAACAACGCCTTAAGCTTTCTTTTTCTGAACTTTATCAATGTTTCAAAGATGTTGGGAAGACCAAAAGTTCACTTTTGAGGCACCAAGTGTTTACCACAGCATAGCAAAAGTCAGTATAATATTATATATGCTTACCTCGCCAGGCAAGGGATAAAAAAGATAATAATCGACACTTACCTCCACATGTATTTTCAAACATAAAATCGGAACTGGTAAACATATAAAAGTGAAAAGGCACCCGGATTATGTTGCTTTAATTTGAAATAAGCTAAAGATTGAAAAGACATTAAGAACATTTTTTTAATCTGAAACCCTTTTTTCTGACATATTATGCAGGTATGTGTACACAGACAAGGCTACTATTAACGCAGAAACTGTCACAGGACTCATGTACACATCCAGGAAATATTCTCTAGATGGATTGTACGACCTCTGTGTAGCTTTCATGGACGAGTCTCTGTCAGACGACAATGTCTGCCAGATCCTCGAGGAGTGTCATGGTTACGGGGAACTGGACTTGGAACAGAAGGCCTTGAAGATCCTGACAGAAGGAGGGGAGAGAGTCACCAAGTCTCCAGGATTTGTGGGTCTTTGTTCTGATTGTCTGGGGAAGTTCCTGAATTCGGAGACGCTGAACCTGAAAGAGGAGGATATATTTGAAGCAGTGCTGTCCTGGACAAAGGAAAAATGCCGGAAGGAAGTTGTGTGTGACACGCCTGAGAACGGACGAAGACTCCTGGATGACATGAGGTATGAGATCCGGTTTACCAGCATGCCCCTGGAGTATCTGGTGAAGGTTGTGGGCCCATCTGGATTACTGACAGTGGATGAGAAAATGAGAATAATAGACAGAGCCGTAGACACGACAGTGGACATATCCCCGTTTAGACAATCCAGGAGAAATGCCACACAAACGTTTGCAGGGAATCTGAATGCACAGACTTCTACAAAAACTCAGAATACATCAGCTTACAGTTTTGGAATAGCATCGAATACACACACTGTTACAGGGAATCTGAATGCATCCTGTAAAATCGTGAATAGATTTTCGTTACTGAGCAGCTGGGAAATGCCAGCTGGGCAAAATGCTATCTCATTTACACCAAGTGAGAGCATCCTCCTTTATGGCTGTCAGCTATATGGTGGGCACGATGTTGCAGACTATACACTGACAATCAGAGTGTATGACGCTAACGACGTGGTGCTTTGTGAACCATTCCAGGACACAGTGCTGCAGATTCAAAAGAAAAGGCAGCTGAATAACGTCGTGTTTAAAACGTATGTCTCCCTCACAGCAGGTGCAACGTATACTCTCTATGCGGACATGAAGGGGCCTGCCACTTGTTGTGGCTTGTACGGAATGGACACAGTAACAGTGGGGGGAGTACAGTTCACATTTACAGACTCCCCAATGAGTACCACCATCACATCCACCGGGCTGGGACAGATACCTGGCTTGATATTCTGTCCCCGCTCCTAGAGAGTATGTCACGTGTCCTGCTGACCGACACTGTGGTGGAAACCGGATCATTTTTGGCATGAAAATGATAAACTGAGTTGACTATATGTAGATTCACGACCCTCATTACATTGATACATGTGTCTTCCAGTTGACTATGTAGATTCACAACCCTCGTTACACTGATACATGTGTCTTACAGTTGACTATGTAGATTCACGACCCTCGTTACATTGATACATGTGTCTTACAGTTGACTATGTAGATTCACGACCCTCGTTACATTGATACATGTGTCTTACAGTTGACTATGTAGATTCACGACCCTCGTTACACTTATACATGTGACTTCCAGTTGACTATGTAGATTCATGACCCTTGTTACACTGATACATGTGTCTTACAGTTGCCTATGTATATTCACGACCCTCGTTACATTGATACATGTGTCTTACAGTTGACTGTAGATTCACGACCCTCGTTACACTGATACATGTGTCTTACAGTTGACTATGTAGATTCACGACCCTCGTTACATTGATACATGTGTCTTCCAGTTGACTATGTAGATTCACGACCCTCGTTATATTGATACATGTGTCTTACAGTTGACTATGTAGATTCACGACCCTCGTTACATTGATACATGTGTCTTACAGTTGACTATGTAGATTCACGACCCTCGTTACACTGATACATGTGTCTTACAGTTGACTATGTAGATTCACGACCCTCGTGACATTGATACATGTGTCTTACAGTTGACTATGTAGATTCACGACCCTCGTTACACTGATACATGTGTCTTACAGTTGACTATGTAGATTCACGACCCTCGTTACAATGATACATGTGTCTTACAGTTGACTATGTAGATTCACGACCCTCGTTACACTGATACATGTGTCTTACAGTTGACTATGTAGATTCACGACCCTCGTTACAATGATACATGTGTCTTACAGTTGACTATGTAGATTCACGACCCTCGTTACATTTATACATGTGTCTTCCAGTTGACTATGTAGATTCACGACCCTCGTTACAGTTGATACATGTGTCTTCCAGTTGACTATGTAGATTCACGACCCTCGTTACAATGATACATGTGTCTTACAGTTGACTATGTAGATTCACGACCCTCGTTACAATGATACATGTGTCTTACAGTTGACTATGTAGATTCACGACCCTCGTTACATTGATACATGTGTCTTACAGTTGAATATGTAGATTCAGTTGACTCATGTAGACGACCCTCGTTACATTGATACATGTGTCTTCCAGTTGACTATGTAGATTCACGACCCTCGTTACACTGATACACGTGTCTTACAGTTGACTATGTAGATTCACGACCCTCGTTACACTGATACATGTGTCTTACAGTTGACTATGTAGATTCACGACCCTCGTTACACTTATACACGTGTCTTCCAGTTGACTATGTAGATTCACGACCCTCGTTACACTGATACATGTGTCTTACAGTTGACTATGTAGATTCACGACCCTCGTTACATTGATACATGTGTCTTACAGTTGACTATGTAGATTCACGACCCTCGTTACATTGATACATGTGTCTTCCAGTTGACTATGTAGATTCACGACCCTCGTTACACTGATACATGTGTCTTACAGTTGACTGTGTAGATTCACGACCCTCGTTACATTGATACATGTGTCTTACAGTTGACTATGTAGATTCACGACCCTCGTTACACTGATACATGTGTCTTACAGTTGACTATGTAGATTCACGACCCTCGTTACACTGATACATGTGTCTTACAGTTGACTGTGTAGATTCACGACCCTCGTTACACTGATACATGTGTCTTCCAGTTGACTATGTAGATTCACGACCCTCGTTACACTGATACATGTGTCTTACAGTTGACTATGTAGATTCACGACCCTCGTTACACTGATACATGTGTCTTACAGTTGACTATGTAGATTCACGACCCTCGTTACATTGATACATGTGTCTTACAGTTGACTATGTAGATTCACGACCCTCGTTACATTGATACATGTGTCTTACAGTTGACTATGTAGATTCACGACCCTCGTTACATTGATACATGTGTCTTACAGTTGACTATGTAGATTCACGACCCTCGTTACATTGATACATGTGTCTTACAGTTGACTATGTAGATTCACGACCCTCGTTACACTGATACATGTGTCTTACAGTTGACTATGTAGATTCACGACCCTCGTTACACTGATACATGTGTGTCTTACAGTTGAACTATGTAGATTCACGACCCTCGTTACACTGATACATGTGTCTTACAGTTGACTATGTAGATTCACGACCCTCGTTACACTGATACATGTGTCTTCCAGTTGACTATGTAGATTCACGACCCTCGTTACACTGATACATGTGTCTTACAGTTGACTATGTAGATTCACGACCCTCGTTACACTGATACATGTGTCTTACAGTTGACTATGTAGATTCACGACCCTCGTTACACTGATACATGTGTCTTACAGTTGACTATGTAGATTCACGACCCTCGTTACACTGATACATGTGTCTTACAGTTGACTATGTAGATTCACGACCCTCGTTACATTGATACATGTGTCTTACAGTTGACTATGTAGATTCACGACCCTCGTTACATTGATACATGTGTCTTACAGTTGACTATGTAGATTCACGACCCTCGTTACACTGATACATGTGTCTTACAGTTGACTATGTAGATTCACGACCCTCGTTACACTGATACATGTGTCTTCCAGTTGACTATGTAGATTCACGACCCTCGTTACATTGATACATGTGTCTTCCAGTTGACTATGTAGATTCACGACCCTCGTTACACCCTGATACATGATACATGTCTTACAGTTGACTATGTAGATTCACGACCCTCGTTACACTGATACAGTTGTGTCTTACGAGTTGAATATGTAGATTCACGACCCTCGTTACACTGATACATGTGTCTTCCAGTTGACTATGTAGATTCATGACCCTCGTTACATTGATACACGTGTCTTACAGTTGACTATGTAGATTCACGACCCTAGTTACATTGATACATGTGTATAGTGCACGGCGTCAAAACCATTTCACACAGATACTACACAATATGTGTTAACAGAGAGGTAATTATTGTCCAATGAAACTGCATGAAAGTTTACATATACCCCATATTTACATAACTATTTGCCTACATGGTAAATCATAACAACAACAGTACTCTTTTGTGCGTGGACCCGTGAAGATCCGGAATAGAATAGGTCTTCAGCAACCCATGCTTGCCACAAAAGGCGACTATGCTTGTAAAAGGCGACTAACGGGATCGGGTTGTCAGGCTCGCTGACTTGGTTGACACATGTCATCGGTTCCCAATTGTGCAGATCGATGCTCATGCTGCTGATCACTGGATTGTCTGGTCCAGACTCGTTTATTTACAGACCGCCGCCATGTAGCTGGAATATTGCGTAAAACTAAACTCACTCACTCACTCTTTTGTGCGTGATTTTGATTAGCTCCTTATTGGTAGAAGGAAGAGCATTTTACCGATATAACCATGTAGCTGATAGTGACGGGGTAGTGGGGCAGCCAAGTGGTTAATGCGTTCACTCATCACGCCGAAGACCCGGGTTCTATTCCCCACATGGGTACAATGTGTGAAGCCCATTTCTAGTGTCCATTGCCGTGGTATTGCTGGAATATCGCTAAAAGCCGCGTAAATTTAAACTCACTCACTCTCTGTATGTAGACTACATTATAAGTGTCAAGTCCACGGAGTCAGTCAACCTCAGCTGCAGGGTTGTTCTCACTTTTCCACCTATTCGCCAGCACACAAAGGGTGTTGGTTCGAATCCCGGATGGGACTCAACCCAAAGAGCACTAGAATCTGCAATCCCAACGGTGAGATGAATGTAACATATGTTATATTTGGGATTACACTTTCTTAGTAAAAGTACAGATTCTAGAACTTTTGGGTTGAGTCCCATCCGAATTCGAACCAACACCCTTTGTGTGCTGGCGATTAGGTGCCTGACTCTGAGGGTGTGGGTCTGAATCCCAGATGAGACTCAACCCATGAAGTATTAGAATCTGTACTTTACTAAGAAAGTGTAATCCCAAATATATAATAAGTTACATTTGACCACATTCTAAATGGAATTGTGTAATCATAGCTGTTGGCCGTTGGAGCCTGCCAATTTACACTTATCAGTGGGGTACACAAAGTCCGCAGTCTAGACTACCAGTTATCCGACTTCCATTTTGTGGAAGTCGCCGTGACTGAACGGGTTAGGCGGCTGACTTGTGTGTGCTGGCGAATGGGTGTCTCACTGAGAGGGTGTGGGTATGATTGGACAGGTTTCTTGAAAACCGTTATATCGGATCTCCGTTATTCTATAGATAGCAGATTAAAAAACCTTCAAGTGCTTCTAGTACAGGCCTCGAGCTTGGGAAGGTGCATCAAGGAATTCCCAAGTTAGATATGTCCTTGTACCGCCAGCCATATAGCTGGGATATTGTTGAGTGCGGCGTATTATTGTCATGTTTCTATCCGTCCAGTATTGTCGTAACTGGCGTTTGGGTGTTAGTAAACCCTACCTCAGTTACCTATTGCTTATGGTCGTTCCACATTGTCAGGGGAGATGTAAGCTCCAGCTCTGCACTCGCTTGGTCCATGGGGAATGCTCAGTCAAGGAGTGAGGGGTCGGGCGACCGTGACTCCTAACTAACTACATCACATTCATGTACTGGCCTACATATATTCAAGTATAAACGCAACACCAAGTTCTATACTCACATAGGTTTACTGTCTCGCAGTCCATATCTCTCCAAGTACAAGTCCAACACAAGACAGAGCAGGCTCGTATCCTACGGGGAACTTAGTAAAGTGGATTGGCTTCCGAAATGTTGAGCTAGTACTCTCCGCACTCTCTCTCTCTTAGCGCCCAAACATGTCTTTTTAAATGAGACGAGCCTTGATACAGTTGCAGGCAACGCTGAGGTCTCCTTGGCTTTAGTTCTATCTATTGTATCTGAGGGCTAGAAATCATCGTCCAAAACGGAGCCAGAACACGTTTCTTGACAGGCGAGCGGATCTTCCAAATACAGCCGGGGTCGCGGGGTCATGTACCTTTTAAGAAGTTCCGGAGAAGAAATAGTTCCCTCTTTAACAGGCTGTATCTCAGTTGTTCTTGGGTCTACGGTCAAAACAATTAGTGTTCTGGAATCACCAAGACGCCATCTACCATACTGGCACTTTGTGTGCAGAATCTGCACATTTTGGGAGCAAACTACTCAGAAAACTGCTGGAAAACATGGCCAAAAGACTGAAAACGAAAATAACTGCCAAACGGTACATTTTAGCGACTTGACCCGTCCAGGCGAAATTGTTGGGAATTCGATTATGCATCTGTACAAGAAATTTGGAAGTGGTGAACAATTAGTTCTTGAGATGTTTGCTGTCAAACGTTGACATTTTGGAATTAATTTTGAATCAGGGTTTTAACCCCCGGACATGGTAGACAGCCCAACAGACTTTCTAATGGTCAAGGTCAACAAGGTCACGGGGGTCAAAGTCATTTGACCGGTCCGTCACAAGAAAAGTACTTTTTTTGACGAGCTAAGACGCCGCTGTTACTGCTTCTGAGCTAAAAGGAATTGGTGTTTCTGCTTTGCCCGGACCTAGTGTATCGTATGGAATGGTCAAACTCGGCAAAACTGATCCCGACGTCTGTCCGCATGTCTGTCCGCCAAACTATTTCCCCCCTATTTTCTCCGGAACTATTCGACGTACAGAACTGAGATTGTGCAGAAAGCTTCCCATTAACTGTGCCTACTAATATAGTAAATGTCAAGTCATTCACTTTTCAACTTTCGTTGCTATGGCAATCTGAAAAATAATAAGTTTAAATCCAAGATGGCGGCCAAACGGCGGGCAGTATCCCCTTGGAACAAAGCGGTCGAAAATCATCGGAATCTCATGGCAGAGACACATACCAAATATGGACGCTATTGGGTCGATGCTGACGGAGATATATGCTGTTTTAGGCCGTTCTGATAGCATATCGCATTTTTGCACACTTTCAATCCAATATGGCCGCCAAACCACGTGACTTTTGACATATGACTAAGAACAGAAAATGTACAGCAACAACAGACAACATCTAAACCAGCTTGTTGAAGACTTTTCCCTGGTAAGTTTGCTTTTGAAAAACCCGTGAAGAACAACAGAGTGGGAAACAAACTGAGTGCAACACGTCACAATTTAATTCTGGATCACAAAAGTCCAGAAACTCTCCGCACTGTGGGCACTTTCTGACAAGGGTTTTGACCAAATGGAACATGCAGTTGTTATTAATACATGCCAAGGATGAAAAATGCAAAAAATATTCGAAAACTTTCAATTTACACTCGCTCGCCCATGGGCCACTGTTCGCCCATGGGTTCATGGGCGAGCGAGTTGAAAATTGACAGTTTTCGAAACATTTTGTTTTCATTTTTTCATCCTTGGCATGTATTTATAACAACTGCATGTTGAAGCAGATAGCATGAGACCCAGCTGGTATTAATAAATGTCGGTAAGACAAGAACCTGTACACACTCTTACAGGGTGTCTTCAGTTTCTTAATGATAGTACTTGGGGCTTTTCTCACAGAATGGTTAAATGGAGATATGTCAACAGTTGTGTCTATGGCTCTGTCCATTATTCGTATTCTCTCGCTGTCTGTCAACAAACCAGATCTTCCCACAACCTTGACAACATACTCCATGGACATGCTGGTGAATCTGATGTCATACTTTATCTCCCCAGGAGTCTCCGTCTGTTCTCAGGCGTGTCACTCACACCTTCCTTCCGGCATCTTTCCTTTGTCCAGGACAGCACAACTTCAAATATGTCTTCCTCCTTTAAATCTAAGATTACTTGACCTGACAAATTTAGCCGCACAGTCAGGGGCAAAGCTGCCCGAATCGGAAGACTGGATGACTTTCTTTCCTCCTTCAGTCAGGATCTTCAGGGCCTTCTGTTCCAAGTCCAGTTCTCCGTAACCATGACACTGCTCCAGGATCTGGCAGACATTGTCTTCTGTCAGTGAAGTCTCCAGGAGCGTTACACAGAGACTGTACAATGCATCTAGAGCATATTTCCTGGATGTGTACATGAGTCCTATGACTGTATCAGTGCTGACAGTAGCCTTGTCTGTGTACACATACCTACAACAGCATGTAAGAAAAAAAGGATAGGAAGAATTTCCCAACGGTTGTATTATTTTGTTTTAAGCTAACTTCAGAATAGCATAATCAGAATTGATATTTATTTTTGTTCAGTTAAGCAAATGCTTGATGTTATTAGGAATGTTTCTTCCCATTTGGATCAATGTGATGGGGCAAGCACATTGCTAATGTACAAATCCATGCAGTTTAATCGTAAGGGCTTCAGTCTTCCAGACTTCTCGAAGAAGTATAGGTGAGGGTTTTTATCATTGGTAAATGTATCCATAAACATGGTCTAACCTTAGGAACTCTCTGAAGATGTCTGCCTCAATGTCAGGGATGGTTACCTCCCCCTTCTCCGCCAGGGGGCCACAGAACATGGCATGGAAGACACAGCTTCGACTGACAAGAACGTAGCGGTGAGCTCTGATCTCCTGCTTATTCGACCCTACAAGGAAAGTGACGTCACTGAAATCTTCTGTGTCGAGCATGCGCAGATTACACTGAGTGACAGTCCTTCCAGTCTGCCAGTTGTCCACATACCCAGATTCTCTGCTGGCACCTGTCATCTTCTTCATCTACGAACAGAGAAAGTAAGGATGAAATAACGTGATCATTTGTGCTTTAGATGATATTAGTTTTTTTAAAGCAAGGGGCCAGTGGTGTACTTGAAATGTACTCGAATTTGCAATTTACGAAGAAAGTTGAAATTGGAAGACGTCTTGCCTGGCGTTAAAGGACCCTGTCTTCTCTGGCACTGGCCTTTCACAGATCTTTCACCTGTCCAGTCATGTTGTGTTTGGGAATGAGCGGGTTGATGACAGACTTACAGGACATCCCAGTTTGCTGCATCCCTCATCTTTGATTTTCTGATAGGGGACGGTTAGGCATTTCACATACAAATTAAGATCTTCAGATCGGCAGTCGCATCGTTCAGTCAAAGTCATGTACAAATGCATGTTTTGATCAAACTTCAGTTTTCAGCGTGAGACCCCTGACTTCTACATAAGCATCACGTGATCGCACGTGCACATCGTGACAGTTAAGGCGCCTGCCTTTCTATATGCGTTGCAAAACACAAAATGTACTTTGGAGGACAGTATGAGCTACACGGGTTTGCAATTTCGCTATAAATGTGGCCGTATAATAATTTTGACGAGGTATGTATATGAAGTGACATATTCACAATATGGCAGAAATATTGCAAATGTGAATTTTAACTAACTCCTTCACAAACTTACTTCCCTTGGAATTTAGCAATTTTATACTTTCGTAGAAAGGATAACTGCACAATTATAATTTTCCACAGACACCACTGACATTAAAATACTGACTTTATGTATTTCATTTAGGCAATTGTACATTATGGATAGCACTCTCTATGTGTACTAACCAGCCGTTTCAACGCATTACCTGAGAGGTATTTACATAAACAGGTTTTGTTTTCTACCGATACAGATTTCTATGAAATATAAATATAAACTGAAGAGAGCAAAGAAAGTACACAGGTGTAATATTTGGTGTTGCAATCCCAAATATGCGTTCTAAATTATAAAATTATTGAAAAACATTGATTGTATAGAACGCAACCATCATGTTTCAATTGCCAAAATGCAACCGAAAACATTTGTACGTGTTTTGCACGAATTTTTGCAAAATTGTGATTATTGTCCCATGCACCAGCACTTTTCTGGCAGAGAGTATAAAACCTGTTTGTCGTGAAGACTGAACAATCCTTGACAGAAATCTCACGAGGAAATGCCAAGATTGACGTCGGCGCAACAAGAACAGGCCAAAGGAATGACACAAATGGGTGCTTTCAACAGCGATATTGCAAGGACATTGGGTTGCACAAGACAAACCATAATTCGGCTGTTTAACCGTTTCAGTACGACAGGCCAGACATGTGATCGACCCAGAAGTGGACGTTCCAGAGTCACAACACCCAAGAGGATCGCTATCTGCGGGTTCTTCACATACGCAACTGGATGTTGACGGTGACGTTATCAGCAGCCACATCATTGGGTCATCGCGTAAGCCGATTCCACAGTGACAAGACGACTTCGTCCTGCTGGCATGTATGGGCCTACCGACCGCTGCGTGGAATGGCCTTGACCTTCCAGCATCGTAGGAACCGTCTGCAGTGGTCATCACTACATCGCTGTTTATTGCTACAATGTCATTTTGCTGATAAAACACGTGTATTGCGGTGTGCTTCAACATACATTTTCATTTCATCAAAAGGTTTTGTTATTTTTTCTTATTGAAGAAGCACAACCTGTGTACTTTCTTTTGAACATCAGTTTATATAAACCAATGTTCACGATTCCAGGTGTTCACGGTGAGGGGAATGAGCTTACCCTGCCACACCGGTGGCACCTGTCACAAACACATGCCAGGGCAAGTCAAGTCTCCACCTGAACTTACAAGGCAACATATAGTGCTGTCAAAATAGCCTACTGCATGAGCCACCATGTTTGTCACCGATGCGTCACGTTAAAATGTTCCACCAAAACAGCCTTTACTGGAGACTTCGGATGGTGTCCTTACGCACGAGTCGAGTGACGCTTTTGTAATCATCATTGACATAACACTGGATCATGTACTTCAGAGGTCCTAAATCTGGGTTGGATATGAACAGTTAGTGAGTGAGTGAGTTTAATTTTTACACCGCACTCAGCAATATTTCAGCTATATGGCGGCGGTCTGTAAATAATCGAATCTGGAACAGACACTCGACAGCATGAGCATCGATCTGCGCAATTGGGAACCGATGACATGTGTCAACCAAGTCAGCGAGCCTGACCACCCGATCCCGTTAGTCGCCTCTTACGACAAGCATGGGTTACTGAAGATCAATTATAACCCGGACCTTCACGGGTAACAGTTGGGATCTTACCTTGTAACATGGGAGAAAACGGCAAGCGCGAGAGGGTGTGTGATCGCTGGCTTGAGTAATCTTTAGCTGAGACAACTTCCGCATTCCTAGTGTATATATACACCTATATCAATGTCTATCGTATGCTGCTATCGCGTGACAACCCTATCAAACTCTATACTCTGAGCCACGGTAAGTTAGCCAAGTGGACGCCGACGACTCGAGTTCGATCCACCACATAGGCACACCACATGAAATCTCAATCAGGGGAGGGACCCTCACTCACACTACAGTATCACTACGTTTAGCCGCTGACATCTTCAGGAAGGTGGTCATCAGAGCTTGCCTTCAACTGCAGTGGGCAGGTGCGTGGGTGTAGATGTGTACAAAAGTGAGTGTGTATTTACGCAATTAAATCAGCCTACTGCTAATTTTCTTATTTTCTCATTTATTGTTTTATGCAAACACTATTGTAAAATAATTACCTATAATTATCTGTTTTCTGGCTGGTAACAGCTTTAGACTTTACAAAATGAACCAATATGTTTACTTAATTTATACGCAAATAAACAAATGACCGTGAAACTAAACTCTCCATGGTAAGGTGGTTATGTTCTACTGTTGGAGGTACTAGCCATGGTAAGGTGGTTATGTTCTCCTGTTGGAGGTACTGGCCATGGTAAGGTGGTAAGGTGGTTATGTTCTTCTGTTGGAGGTACTGGCCATGGTAAGGGTAGTTATGTTCTCCTGTTGGAGGTACTGGCCATGGTAAAGGTGGTTACGTTCTCTGTTGGAGGTACTGGCCATGGTAAGGTGGTTATGTTCTTCTGTTGGGGGTACTGGCAATGGCAAGGTGGTTATGTTCTCCTGTTGGAGGTACTGGCCATAGTAAAGGTGGTTATGTTCTACTGTTGGAGGTACTAGCCATGGTAAGGTGGTTATGTTCTTCTGTTGGAGGTACTGGCCATGGTAAGGTGGTTATTTCTCCCGTTGGAGTACTGGCCATGGTAAAGGTGGCTATCAATTTGCCCTGTTGGAGGTACTGGCCACGGTGGTAAGGTGGTTATGTTCTCCTGTTGGAGGTACTGGCCATGGTAAGGTGGTTATGTTCTACTGTTGGAGTTGTTGGCCATGACAAGGTGGTTATGTTCTACTGTTGGAGGTACTAGCCATGGTAAGGTAGTTATATTCTCCTGTTAGAGGTACTGGCCATGGTAAGGTGGTTATGTTCTCCTGTTGGAGGTACTGGCCATGGTAAGGTGGTTATGTTTACTGTTGGAGGTACTAGCCATGATAAGGTGGTTATGTTCTACTGTTGGAGGTACTGGCCATGGTAAGGTGGTTATGTTCTCCTGTTGGAGGTACTGGCCATGGTAAGGTGGTTATGTTCTCCTGTTGGAGGTACTAGCCATGGTAAGGTAGTTATGTTCTCCTGTTGGAGGTACTGGCCATGGTAAGGTGATTATGTTCTCCTGTTGGAGGTACTGGCCATTGTAAGGTAGTTATGTTCTCCTGTTGGAGGTACTGACCATGATAGGGAAGTTATGTTCTACTGTTGGAGGTACTAGCCATGGTAAGGTGGTTATGTTTTACTGTTGGGGGTGTTGGCCATGGTAAGGTGGTTATGTTCTCCTGTTGGAGGCACTGGCCATGGTAAGGTGGTAATGTTCTCCCTATTGGAGGTGTTGGCCATGATAAGGTAGTTATGTTCTCCTGTTGGAGGTACTCGCCATGGTAAGGTGTTTATGTTTTACTGTTGGGGGTGTTGGCCATGGTAAGGTGGTTATGTTCTCCTGTTGGAGGTACTGGCCATGGTAAGGTGGTTATGTTCTCCCGTTGGAGGGTACTGGCCATGGTAAGGTGGTTATAGTCTCCTGTTGGAGGTACTGGCCATGGTAAAGGTGGCTATGTTGCTCTGTTGGAGGTACTGGCCACGGTAAGGTGGTTATGTTCTCCTGTTGGAGGTACTGGCCATGATACGGTGGTTATCTTCTACTCTTGGAGGTACTGGCCATGGTAAGGTAGTTATGTTCTTCTGTTGGAGGTACTGGCCATGGTAAGGTAGTTATGTTCTCCTGTTCGAGAGGTACTTTCGCCATGGTAAGGTGGTTATGTTCCATTGTTGGAGGTACTAGCCATGGTAAGGTGGTTATGTTCTCCTGTTGGAGGTACTAGCCATGGTAAGGTGGTTATGTTGTCCTGATGGAGGTACTAGCCATGGTAAGGTGGTTCTGTTCTCCCTGTTGGAGGTACTGGCCATGGTAAGGTGGTTATGTTGTCCCTGTTGGAGGTACTGGCCATTGTAAGGTGGTTCTGTTCTCCTGTTGGAGGTACTGGCCATGGTAAGGTGGTTATGTTCTACTGTTGGATGTACTAGCCATGGTAAGGTGGTTATGTTCTACTGTTGGAGGTACCTAGCCATGGTAAGGTAGTTATGTTCTCCTGTTGGAGGTACTGGCCTTGGTAAGGTGGTTCTGTTTCTGTTGGAGGTACACTAGCCATGGTAAGGTGGTTATGTTCTCCTGTTGGAGGTACTGGCCTTGGTAAGGTGGTTATGTTCTACTGTTGGAGGTACTAGCCATGGTAAGGTGGTTATGTTCTACTGTTGGAGGTACTGGCCTTGGTAAGATGGTTATGTTCTACTGTTGGAGGTACTAGCCATTGTAAGGTGGTTATGTTCTACTGTTGGAGGTAC